AAATTATATCACTTGGTCGTCAGTGGTGACTGACGTGATCACGCTCGCTGACTTTGTGGATGCAGATCATTGTATCCCAATAGCGTAGATAGATGCTCATAATGCCAATCACTGGATTGTCTGGTACAAATTCGATTATTTACAGACTGCAGTCATACAGCTGGAATATTGCTAAGTGTGGCGTGAAACAAAAACTCCAATCAAACAAACAAAAAACAAATAAAACGGGACCGTAGAACATGCATTTGATTGTGAATGTCCTACCTAGATCAATCCAGTTAAGCCATGCCGTTGTTATGATGCCTTCCAGGATGCGTCCATCATTGCCATCTATGTCCACAACTCTGTTCAACAGGAGATTGTGGCGTCTGTTGCTTGGCAACAGTACTCCCCCGATATACAGCGAATTGACGTTTGTATCCCCCTGTACAGTATTCATTAAGACGGCCTGGGAGGGTGGTTGAACAGAGCTAGGCTCCTGTATGACCCCGTCCCTTGCCATCGTGTAGAACACCCTGGTCACTGTTGTCCTGTAATTCAAGAGAAGGAATATAAATGCTTGTTTCACCCTTCCTGTTATTAGGCATTCACAAACATGGCATTTGGTGCAAAGTTAAAGTTTAGAAAAACTTTTTATTCTTTCTAACATTTAGAGATGGGAATAAAAGGCTTAATGGGTGTCAAGTTCGACATCGAAAGAGTACACTCAAGGTCACTCTAATCTGATCCAACAAACAGCTGTCCAATAACTTTGTGCAGAAGTACCTTCTATCCTTATTTGGATATAACAACTGGAAATTATGGAATGGTAGTATTTGTTTTCATTTGAAATGTATTCCTGAAATTAAAGATACATTTTTTTTATTTGATTGAACGTTTTTGATATACTGCTCAAAAGAAGTTGAAGAATGTTCTTTCATACTAGATACTGTGATAGGTCATTCTTAACAGAATGAAAGAATCGGTTGTCCTTATTCTGACCACGGTATAGTTACATTACTTACCCGTAATCGCCAGTGTATTCCTGTGTCTGGACCATGGTGGCCTTGAACTGACAACCACAACCTACAACATGGACAACACAATTTTACAACATGGACAACACAAACAGAAGGCTGTGGACTAAAACCTCTGCAAGAGTGTGGTATCGGCCCATTATATAATATAGGATTTATCCACGCTGAATCTGGTATATGCATTTGTAGCAGGGCATTGAGTCATCCCACAGATGACATCCTTACCATGTCAGCTTGCTGACGGGGTTAACCTCTTTGGTCATGTGGACAAGGCGTCTGACTTCTGATCAGAAGGTCCATGGTTCGAATCCAAACGGGACTCAGAAATTTTATAGCCGCTACACATTCATAGATATAAGCGACAAAAACCATTTCAAAACCAACTGCAATTCTGTTGAGATACATACTAAAGGGGGAATGACACACCTAATAACCATTCCTTGCACAGTCTATCTAAATCTGTGAAAACACAGTCATATGTCTTCACTGAATCTTTTCTGGTATGTTAATAAAAAAATTGCAATGACTATCGTCACTTCTTTGATGCAACAAAGGATGTTCCATGCTCAATAATGGTAACAGACTTCAGCGCACAGTTCCTGGTTAAGTTTTAAAATATGATCCTGACAAGACATACTACAATATTTACCATATATTGAAATTTGTTTAAACTGAACCAAAATGCTGGATTTCATTTACTGTTGTAAGTATAACCTTTAACAGTTCAGTTCAACCATGATATACTTATGTACACAACTTAGCTTTGTTATATATTTTTGTTTTAAAGCACGGCCATGCATCTCTTGATTGATTAGTTTGTTGTCTTCAAAGATTTTACCAGAAGACATGACAGTCAATCATTAAGACTAACTACCTGGATTAGATTGCTACCTTCAAAGATTTTACCAGAAGACATGACAGTCAGTCATTAAGACTTAACTACCTGGATTAGATTGCTACCTTCAAAGATTTTACCAGAAGACATGACAGTCAGTCATTAAGACATAACTACCTGGATTAGATTGCTACCTTCAAAGATTTTACCAGAAGACATGACAGTCAGTCATTAAGACTGGTTTAACTACCTTCAAAGATTTTACCAGAAGACATGGCAGTGGATTACCTGGATTGATTGCTACCTTCAAAGATTTTACCAGAAGACATGACAGTCAGTCATTAAGACTAACTACCTGGGTTTAGATTGCTACCTTCAAAGATTTTACCAGAAGACATGACAGTCAGTGCTACCTTCAAGATTTTACTAACTTCTACCTGGTTTAGATTGCTACCTTCAAAGATTTTACCAGAAGACATGACAGTCAGTCATTAAGACTAACTACCTGGATTAGATTGCTACCTTCAAAGATTTTACCAGAAGACATGACAGTCAGTCATTAAGACTAACTACCTGGTTTAGATTTCTACCTTCAAAGATTTTACCAGAAGACATGACAGTCAGTCATTAAGACTAACTACCTGGATTAGATTGCTACCTTCAAAGATTTTACCAGAAGACATGACAGTCAGTCATTAAGACTAACTACCTGGTTTAGATTTCTACCTTCAAAGATTTTACCAGAAGACATGACAGTCAGTCATTAAGAATAACTACCTGGATTAGCTTGTTGCCATGCTTCCTCGATGACACTGAGAACAGCACTCCTACTGGATTGAGGCAAATCTCCAATGAAATCCACCGTGTAAGCAAGTCCTGTATTCCGCAAACCCTGTACGGAGCCTGTGTAGACGGCAACTCCGCCAGGCATTTCTCTGAAGGGATCACTCTTCTGGAACTCGTTGCTCACTACTATGGTGAAGTTGTTGGTTTGTTCGGGTGTCATGGTAACAGGGGTTCCGCTTGTGGAATTGGTCACATTGTACGTATATCCAGTGATGATGTTTCTAGGGAATGAAATGCATATTTACATTAAAAGTATATTTCTTCAATGTGATTATTTCTTAATAAGTACTACGTTCTCCGTATGATATATGTGCGCAAGATTTGGATAAAATATAGATTTCAGTGGCATCTGTCATATAAGGGCATGTCACCTTAATTTGGAGTGAGTGAATGAGTTTAGGTTTGCGCCGCTTTTACCAATATTCCAGCAAGATCGCGAAACACAAGATATGGGCTTCACGCATTGTAACCATGCATGTAGATGATAGAACCCGGGTCTTCGACGTGATGAGCGTACAAGCCTACCTCACCCACCCACCTTAATGTGGAAGAAAAGACCTTTGGTGACAAAAAAAAACAACCATCACAAGTTTGGTGCTGACAAATCTTAGTTTTTCTCTATAAGGGACACAACTCACATTCTTTAGAAGTGGATATAATGGCATGTACCAAAAGAAGTTATTATTCTACACACTGAAGTCAAGAAACACAACCTACCCAGATGGGTCCAAATAACTTGTCGTCTCTATGATGTAAAGCCTTAAACAGCATGAGGATCCTGAAATAAAATGAAGATATACATCATGAAGAAGTACGTGAATATATGTCTTGGTCACTCTATCATTATTCGACAGAAATATGGAGTGCCAGGCCTTCATTTAGATCGAGATTAACGAAGCAAACATTATTCCATCTATATGAAGGTAACATGTTATATTTACAATACTTTCTGAGTAAGGGCATTGTGTATTCATAGCCATCGACACTCAAACCCCCAAAGTACAAGAATCTGTACTTTACTGGGAAACTGTCATCCCAAATATGACAATTTTCCAAATAGGCATTGTGAATCTTTATGATGTCGGCCTGTAAAAACTCGAGTCTGAATCAGACAAACTAGACGTTTTGGAAAATCTGACTTTATGAGCATCGATCAACACTATGGCTTACAATATCATGCATTAACTCTATCCTGTTAATTGCTGAAGACCTCCAACCGTTTCTAAAACAGTATGTTTCTCACATAGTGGAAGTGAGTGAGTACACGTTTAGCAATATATGTTGGGGGACCATAGTGGAAAGACAGATTTAGTATATGTTTATGATATAGATATAATGTGTTTGGCATCATACCAGTATAAGAATTATTCAGCGCATTCTGCAGAATTTCTTCCACGGATGGTTGATTGCCCTCGCTGATTATTCCCGTCAAGAAGATCGTCTGTGTTGTTGCTGTAGGTCTGACCGTTACCACCCCTGTTACAGTCATGGTTGTCGGAGTTGTCTCCCCTGGTGACACCGTTCCCCCTTGAGCTCTGATGATCGCCCCTCCAACTATGTATAGGTCAGTTGAATTCAAATACCGCCCGAGTGTGCCTGCATTGACCCCGACGAACCGTGTCCAGCTTGAGTCGGCCCCTTGGAGGGACACGCTGTATGTTACTTGGGTAACTTGAGTGTTGCTGTAATGAAAGTAAAATACGGTTTCTTCAAATACTAGTTTAATTTGCATCAGTATTAGTCAACTGTTAACTTGCCACATAAAAAAATATTCATTTTTGGTTACTTTTCCTAAATACAACGTATCTTGAGGAAGGCGGAAACAAAGGTGAAAACAACAAATTCTTCCAAACAAACATAAAATGCAATTTCCTTTGACCATATTTTGTAAATAAAAATTATCATCATTTATTAAGAAAAAACAACAAATCCTTTATTGCTGTTACCAAATATACTTTTGGCGAAATATTAATTATTATCAAAATTATTAAGAAACAAAACAATGTACCTTGTACTGCTGAAGTAATTATCGTCCATGGTAATTATATCAGTAGATATTTCAGACGATGGTACGCCAAGAGCCGTGGCTGAAAACACATATCGATTATTATCCTCAAACAAATTCAAAGAGAATGGCAACACTTAATATTCATTTATATCAAACATACAAACTGTATTACATATGTTATAGTGATCTTACCCCAGGCATCGGTAATGCTTTGTTGCACAGTGTCTCTGCTGTTGTTGCTAATCCTTCCACCAAAATAGGTGGTAAATAATCTTGTCATCGGACTTGAGTACTGTTCCAGGTTGAGATTGATCAGTATCTGGTCCAATCTCTGCTGGCTCACTGCAGTGGACTGGACATCTGGCCCCGATATGGGAGGACGGTAGTAAACGCGGGTTACTGGTCCGCTGTGAGAAAAATATATACTTAAAAGAAGATATACTTACAAGAACATGAATTAAATAAAAACAAAATCCTGTGTTTCAAACATAGTTGGAACACCTTGTTTTTTCAAAACATTTGTATGGATCTCTCAAAATGCAAGGAAAACATTGCTGTATCTATCCAAACTAGGAACTCCCCCGCCGTGATACTGCTGGACTATTGCTAATTCACTGAAACACTCGTCTTCAAAGATTTCTGGACAAATTCTGTCGTGTCTATTGTAAAGCACAAATATACCCAAAAGTATTTTATGTTCAGTTGTTTAATTATGGGATATACAAAATAATCAACAGCACATACCCCAGAGAATCCCGATACACTTCTGTGTTAGTTGTTCTCCCATCTACATCTGAAAAATCGATATAAAACAATAATATCTACCAATGTCATGGTTTGATTCAGTAAAAAATCCTCTCATTTAATTCTAATATAGTCATAAATAATGTGTTGGCTTGGTTATTAAAGCTGAAGTGAAGGCTTGGTCAAGCATATGTATATTTCATTCATTTAATATCGCATTCACGTCACGATATTTCTGAAATACAGAAATATGAACTTTCAATAATATATGCTATTTTACTAGAAGTTTAGGAGATGAAAAATGAGGACAATATTTGTGGACATACTACTTTTTCATTTTGTATAGGTGACGTTTCGACATAGATTCTAATGTCGTTGTCAAGCAAGTGATATGTACCATTATACCATACCTGATGGGTTAAGGCTTGCTGCAAGTGTCTGTAATTGCGATATTGTCAGTTGACCTTTGACATCAACAAATGGAACCGGAAGTGCTTCGCAATTACAGAAAATGACGTTATTGAGGGTGACGTTGGCTGTCTGAGGTCCAATAACGATGGTGTTGTTCAACAGAACAAGATACCGAATGTTCGTCAGTTGCCTTCTGCAAAAGAAGGTCAAAGTTTACTGATTTGGTCATGATGAAAACACCACAAAGAACGTGTGCTTTAGGAACATATATTTGAAAGAAGTCATGCCATCTTAAAACCGTGACTGAACTGTACAGAAACACATTGAACCAAGAAAACAGCAGATGAAACAGATTTTCTGTAATATAAAACTAAGGAATAACCCACAATATTTTAACATCTTACCCGTCTTGTGTATAGTATGTCTCGGGTCTTAGAAGAACAATTCGTAGAGGAGCATTTCGGAGGTTCGGTGGCACTGAAAGTATTTAACAAACATATATAGCTTATTGTCTTTGACCAAAAAGTAAAATACCCAAAGTCAAAAGAATTTGTTTAAATATTAGAAAAGAATGTGACATGAAACATCAAACCAATATTAGTTTTACCTTGAGAGTTTGTATTCCTCCAGTTTATCCAACCCGATTCTATGACGTTCCTGACCATAACGCCCTGATCACTATCCATATCCACAACCCTGGACAGTAGCACACTGTGATGTCTGTTGTACGGGAGGAGGGAGGACCCAGAGTACAATTCGTTCACATCTGAATCTTGCTGCAAAACGTTGGTGAACACGTCACTGCTTGGGGGGTGTTACAATGTTAGGGTCCTGAATCTGACCCCCACTTGTAGTGGTGTAGTATACTCTGGTCACTTTGATGCTGAAGCACAAGAAGCGTGTGATAGTGAGAGATGGTGATAGATGGTGATAAAGTACTGCGACGGGAAACGTGGTAACCTAAAGTATGTCATAAAAGGTGTGCTATACCGTGATTTAGTATATACCATTGGGTTTTACATGTGGATGTGACGGATCATCCATACATTAAAAGATACACCAATATTACACCTTCGTACTCCATGGTCAGTGTACATAGGCAATATATTCTGCAACTCTAATAGTGAAGTGTGGAGGAAATGAATGGCGTGGAGAATGAATGAACGTGAGGGTTGGGTGGCGTCGCGTGGGGTGGGGTTGGGTGGAGCGGTGTGGGGTTGGGTAGCATGGTGTGGGGTTGGGTGGCATGGTTTGGGGTTGGGTAGTGCGGTGTTGGGTTGGGTGGTGCGGTGTGGGGTTGGGTGGAGCGGTGTGGGGTTGGGTGGCGTGGCGTGGGGTTGGGTAGCGTGGTGTGGCGTTGGGTGCAGTGCGGTGGAGTGTAGCGTGCAGTATTGTAACCTTCAGTGTAGAGTACGTTAGCGTTGTGTATGTGTAGTGTGTTGTAGTATAGTTCAGTGCTACTCACATCCCACACTGCAGTGCACTTACCCATAATCTCCAGTGAAATCGGTCATGCGAACTATTATAGCTTGGTAGTCTCCTACAAACAAACGTATAAATCATATACAAGAGACGCTAAGGATCTTTCACATAAACTAAACACTGACAAGATCACTCTTGAAAATTTCACTTTACCGGTATTCATGTTTTCGTCAACATACACGGGAATTGTGTTCATAAAACATTTTAACTGAACCAAGAGTCGAACAATGAAGTCAAGGTTTGATGGTTTTCCAAACTAATGTCCAAACATCAATTAACAAACTGTCTTTTAATGAAACATGCTCACCTGGGTATGTTTCTTCCCAAGCAGCCTCTATAGCGTCAATCACAGCTTGCCTCCAGGAATCTGGTATATCGCCAATGAAGTCCACAGTATAGGCAAATTCTATAGGTCTCAGTATTTGCACAGAGCCTGTGTAGATGATGGCGCCTGTCTGTAAGAAAGGCTCGGTTCTCTGAAGGTCAATGTTAACCAGGTTTGTGAAGACGGTAGTTTGTTCTGGGGTCATGGTATCCAAGGGACCTCCAGTTGAGTTGCTGATGTTGTAACGGTATCCGGTAATGAGGTTGCTGGTGAAGATAACATTTAACGTAAGAAAAGGCACTATTGAAGTTACTTTAAGTACTGTTAAAAACAAAGAGTATATGTTCCCTGCGTCTCTTGAAATTGTTCATGCCAAGCAGCTGCATTTCTTTGTATGTTATGAACAGGGAAAATTGGCAATATTTATGAGCAAGTTAGAGAGATGGACTAAATGGCGGTGTAACGCAGCTTGTTGTTTCAAGCCGCAGAGTTTCTGGCTGTTTGATGTCGATGTCTAAATTATCTTGTCTGGAACAGACAATCCAGTAACAGACATCATGATCATTGAACCACGCACTTGTTACACACTGACGTTCTCCAATATTAATGCCCATATGTAAGGTGCTGACATTATCAGGGCCAAATGGGGTTCGACCTAAAGATGACCATTTTCTACCAGCGGGTAACGGTGCCTCGGATCGCTTGACTACCCATAATCCCAAAGACACTGAAATCTTTGCTACAATGGATCAACACCTACCCATTTGGATCTATGTAGTTAGTCTGTTCAATTATGTACAGTCTTAAACAGCAGGATGATGCTGAAATACAAACATAAAATTATTCGAAGCACATACATGTAGCATTGGTCATGTGGTATAAACACATTTTGACATGGATATTGTTTCAAGTTTAAGTTGAGCTCATTTGCTTGTGTACTGGAAGCTCTTAATGAAAGGGAACTATGGTTATCTAGTTCTACCCCTTTGAATGTGTACAGTAAACACTCAATGAAAGGAATAGTATAATAGTTCTGTCCATTCTCATGTGAACTATAAACACTTAATGAAATGGTTAATTCGTCATCAATTCCTAATCTTTTTCACATGAACTATAAACACTTAATGAAATGGTTAATTCGTTATCAATTCCTAATCTTTCACACGTGAACTATAAACACTTAATGAAATGGTTAATTCGTCACCAAGTTCTAATCCTTTGAGTGAATTAATAGGTGTATTTACTTTTATCCATCTGAATAAGTTGTTTGATACATTAGTATTCCTACTTCAAAGTTTGACAATTTTTCCATTGGTTTACCATTCATAGAACTGTTAAAGGCTCTCAACAGTATCGCCTCTACAGCGTTTTGACTCCCATCACTGATGTTTCCCTTCAGATATAAAGTCTGTATCAAAGAGGCGGGGCCTGTTGGAGTCACTGATGTAGTGGTCTCTGTGGTACTGGATCTTGTAGTTGCGGTTGTCTCCCCTTGCGTGCTGGTTACCTCCCCTTGGACCAGGACGAGAGGCAATGTGACATACCGGCTAAGTACCACAGGTTCGACTCCCTCATAGGGTGTCCATTGGGAGTCTGATCCTTGAATGGACACTGTGTACATCACCCGTGTCACCTGAGTCCTCCGCCCATCGCTGAAATATAGTATGTATTCTATTTAACTACAGCCGAGGACAGTTCCTAGAATTGTGTTAATATTAATTTAAGAGTGAGTTATATGGAAATACATACTAACTATGTAATAAAGTGTTATGAAGGTTACACTGAAAAGAACTTTTATTTGTTATGATGACACAACTAACCTTGTAGTGCTGACGTAGCTGTCGTTCATGCTGTCAATGTTGACTGACAGAACACTTGGAGAAATCCCCAGATACCCAGCTGGAACACAAGCAGTGTTTTACACTCACAGACATAGACATTGAATACACACAAATAAGCAGATACATAGTTAGGTAGTCTTACAATCCTGAGCCAAATGCGTACGTCAACGCTTAAGTATAATAAATACGTTTAAGACACACTGAGATCACCTTCTTGGGCACCGTCATAAGAACTATTTACTTTTACTTTTTATGTTTACTTGCAATTTGTTCAGACAACGTTGTTGACATGTACAGCCAGGACTGATTGGGTAACCTGTTATATTTCATATCTAACTCTGGTTCGATTCCCAACGTGAGTACAATGCGTCGCCAATACTGGCGTAAACCATCTCTCACTCGCAAAGACATAAGATGTGTGACAACTACGGTGTTTTGAAAGACGAGTTCACCAACTTACCCCAAGCGTTTATGATTGTTTGTTCTATGGCAGTCCTGTTGTTGTCGCCAGTACCTCCAGCAAAGTACAGAGAGAATGACCTGTCGGCTGGACGGGAAGGTTGCTGGAGATTCAGCTCAGTCAATATTTGCGTTAGTCTCGCTTGACCAATCGCAGTGGACTGGACTCCGGTTCCTGATATTGGGGGCCTGTAGTAGACTCTTGTCACTGGTTCGCTGTAGAGAGATACATTAAAAGGTTTCGTTGCATTTATCGACGGATAATGTACTCGAATACTAGCTTGTTCAAAATGTATCGTTCGAAATGGAATACATACGTGATCATTCTAAAGTCTCGGGAATAGTTTTGAATCAGGGCCTAGATTTTCGAAGCTCTCTTAGCGCTAAGATAGTCGTAAGTTAATGTTAAGGTATGGCACTTACGACTATCTTAGCGCTAAGAGAGCTTCAAAAATCTAGGCCCTGGTGTTTAATCCATGAAACACTTGGGTCCGTAACTATTAACTAACATTTCATTGGAACCATGAATTTATCGTACATGCTGAGTAAAGGATTCAAATGTCATGCATTAAGGTGAGGTGAGGTGAAATTGGGTTCAACGTCGTGCTAGAGAATATTTCGCTCATATGACGACGTGCATGCGTGTCTATGTGTATGTGTATGTGCGGCTGCTTGTACTAGCCCAGACTTAAGCTGGTTTTATAGTGCTAGCTCACTGAGATACCATGCGACAGTGAAGCATGAATACCCCCCACTCAGACACAGTATACTGACTCCGAGCCGACCAGTCCTTGTTGTACCAATTAATGCCGAGCGCCAGGCAGGGACCAACAAGTACCATATTTTAACGCCTTTTGGTATGACGCGGTCGGGGCGGACGCTCTAACCACTACACCACGGAGGCGGTCCATGCATTAAGAAAACCACAAACAACATTCATACGAACCCATCAGAATTTATGAACTGTTCACTGCTAATGGTAATCCCAGTTGTGTCTGAAATATAAAAAAAGAATACAGTTCCAGTATTCATAAGTAACAATGATAATCAAAATAATTACTACTTTTCAATGCCCCTATGATTTTGCTAAAGTGAAACAGCTAACACGTCCTTGAAGTGCCTGGAGTTGTCAATATGTGCTAAAATATGTGTTTGATTGTGAATATATACTAACGACATTATTCTTGTCTTAAAAAAAATAAACACTCTTGAACTGCACTCAGACTTGTTGGTCATATTTTGTTATTGTATAGTTTTAGATAAATTGTGAGATACCGGGAAACGGCCCGATCTCAGTATGTATCTCTATGTCTGTAAATTTACCAATTTCTGAAAGAACATGTATTCTTTGACTACCTGCAGGGTTAAGTCTATTTCCAAGTATCTGAAGCTGTGTTGATGTCAGTCCACCTTTGACATCTACAAACGGAACCGGCACTGCATTGCAGTTGTCGTCCGTACAGTATATAGGACCGCTGATGGAAACATTCGCTGCCTCGGGTCCGACAATGTTGGTGTTTCCCAGCTGCACGAAATATTCCACTCTCGTCATCTGTACGCTGCAAAAGACAAAATGTGTTGTAGAACGCCCGCAGGTTTGGAGAGAATGAATATTGTTTTACGGACAATATCGCTGTGTCAATCACCAAGACCAGATGCCACAGACTGCTTCCATCTTGGGAATTGTACAAAGTCTCTAACACTGTGAGAGAGGCTACGTCATTGCCCGTATATATTTTTTAAAGAAAGATTATTTACAACGTACAATCCATGGGATAATATGGAGTTTATATTTCTATAATTAAAATGAATTCCTTAAGTTTCGTTTCCAGACACAACTAGATAAAAATCATATCTTATACAACGGCAAGTGATTCATGCTTGATCCAATGCGACACGGTTTTCAAATGAGCTCTATATGTACATGGATTCCTAAGCAATGCTGGTACATAACACTCAACACTACAATGTTAAGATTACATATTGATTATGATTGGGACAATATATGATGGTATCTATAGCAACGCTTACCCATCCTGTGTGTAATACTTCTGTGCCCTGACGGGGATAATCTCCAGAGGAGCGTTACGGAGGTTAGGTGGTACTGAAAACAAATATTACGTCAGTATTGACAGAAAATGCCCGAAACACGCCAAGTCATGCATTATTATCGCAGATCTCATGTCAAAATGAACGCTTACAACTAACATAGATTATATGACAGAACCAGTACATGTGTCCGATACAGAGGGTAGAAAAGCCAAGATCTGAGCATATATGCAAAGCCTTTGACAGTAGGCAACCTGTGTTCTGATGTAGCGAGGAATAACTCTTCTGAGCCGACGTTAAGGTTCCAAGGGAGACTACTCTTCACACCTTATAGGGAAATCCTAGTTTAAATCTTTAATTTCATAGTCACAAACGCGAATCCTTTCATATTAACGTCCTTGCATATTATATTGGATGCAAAACCACAGAGCAAGGACGAATAAAAAATGCCTGTACCCGACGTTTTATGTAAAATATGTGAGACGGTTAATGACGATTATTCCATATTGGGCCAGTAACAACCATCTTTGATTTTGACAATGATGTTTTTCAGTGCAGAACATCCACTAACCTGACGGGTCCGTGTCTCTCCATCTGATCCACGCTGAGCGTATGTCGTTTGTGATAGCACTGCCTTGAGGGCTTCCCATGTCCACCACGCTGTTGATGAGAACACTGTGACGTCGGCTGTAGGGGATCAGTACTGACCCTGTGTATACGGCATTGCCGCTTCCACCACCCAGCACTGTAGCAAAGAAGACTTGTCTTGGTGGAGGTTGCACCGTGCTCGGGTCCTGGAACCGACCGTCTCGTGTGATGGTGTAGTAGACTCGACTTATTTTGGTGCTGGAAATAGATTACACAGAAGAATCTCATTTACAAAACTGTCCAATAGTCCATTCAATGGCAACATATTGCATAGACATCATGGGTAAAACGAACTATTCTAAAAGAAACGTTTTTGTTATTTTGAAAATACGAGACACAGACCAGATAACGCATATTTCCGTCAAAACAAAATTAATTCAATCAGGTAATTCATGTTTACTGAATTCTCTGCTTCGAATAAAAGGACATACCCGTAATCGCCAGTGTAGGCTACTGTTTGGACTATGTCAGCACTGAATGTACATCTGCAATCTGAACATAATAAAAAAGCAATCAATAGTATTTGTCATTTGAAAAAAGATGTTAAATTCAAGAGATCAACATGTTCACGTGTTATCTTAGCGATTCGATCGAAGAAACAACTCTTTAACCTTTAGAAGTACGAAAGTCGTACAAGTAATGTCGCTTTAGGAACAAGACAGAATTGATAGCACCAATCTACAATCTAACTGACATTCAAAAGAGATTTACTCATTTACCAGGATTGGCATTCCTCCAAGCTGCCTCAATATCAGCTATGACAGATTGTCGTCTAGATTCAGATATGTCCCCGACAAAGTCCACGGTGTAGGTATATCTTAAATTGACTAGGCTAGGAGTGGGGCCTCGATATACAAGTACTCCATTCTGGTTGAAAGGGTTTGTTCCCTGTAGTCCGATGTCCACCTCGTTTGAAAAGTTATTGACCTCTTCTGGTGTCATGCCGGATATCACACTTCCGCCCGTGTGAGTAAAGTTGTATACGTATCCAACAATAATATCCCTGGAGACGGAAAACATAAATGTTGGATTTTTAAAAGAGGTCATCTTGATCAGAAGTTCTTTGAGAGGCATTCTAGAAGTTGTATGGATGAAGGAAAACCAAGTTCTATGGACAGTCAGCTTCTATATTGCAATGACTGCGACGTTTCGGTGTAGGTACTAACACCGTTATCTAGACGGTGTACCTACACCGAAACGTCGCACTCATTGCAATAAAGAAGTTGACTATCCATAGAACTTGATTTTCCTTGATGTCTTTCAGTGGCATTTAGAAGTTGTACATTGATGTCCAAGATATTTTTATGGATTAAACTTCCTTGATCAGAAATTGACCACGTGAGTGCCATTATATATTCACCTTCGAGTGTTGACTGCAAAACAGGGCTGATAACTATATGAATAGATCACTGAAAATCAGTAATGACGTTTCGTAAAAAGGGTAAGCACATCCTGCTCTAACAGATACTACTAACATCACTTACAATAAAACTTAAATGTAGGTTTGTTGCGCGCTGTCAGACAGGCCAATTGTAGAAGTTATAACACATTTACTAGAACCTTCAAGAGACACATTCGGTATATAGAAAGCGTATAAACATGGGATATTGCCTACCCTCTTGGACCCATGTACGTTGTCTTCTGCAAGATGTAGACGAGAGGACAACACGAAGAGCCTAAAACAGAAGAGAACGGACATACAGCTTGCAAGCTAATAGAGAGATGCAATGTTGCGAGATAATGACACAATTTAAGATTTATGTATTATATCAAGGAGCAGCTTCACAAAGGGACTACCACCTTCATTGAGAGGTATTGAAAGAAAGAAGAAGGTAAGAAAGAAATCAACTTTAGCAAAGTTCAGTGATTTGCGTAAATAATGTATCTGGTTAACGTACTGGCAATGGACCTGTTCAAAGCTGCCTGTATTATCTGCTCAAGAGCAGCCTGACTGCTGTCACTGACGTTGCCCCTCAGGTAGATGGTCCGGATGACAGAAGTAGGTGTTTGTCCTGTAACTATCCCTGAATCTGTGGTGGTGGTAATGGACATGTCAATTTCACAATATTCCCCAGAAAAGGGATAGATGCAGACACACGAAAACGGCAGAACGACATGTACACAGAATCCCCCGTTTAAACATTTGACTTCATCGCACGATTCCAGCGTACTTGTGGAGGAGCCGGTGGAGACTGAGGATGCGGTTGTGGAGCTATATCCCGGGGGGAAGCCGATGAACGTCTCGCAGTTGATTCCGCTATATCCAGGAGAACAGGAACAGTTGTATCCATTCGTGAGATCCTTGCAGGTTCCTCCATTCCCACATGGATTCCTGGTACATGCCAGGATTTCTTCTTGACAATATTCACCCCTTGATGTGGCGTGACAGCAACAAGAACCGTTGAAGCACTGTCCTTGATTTTTACATCCAACAGCAGGGCATTCTGGGTCAATCTCTTGCAGCAGGACTCTTGAATTACATATGGTTCCAATCCATCCACTTCTACATAGCTTTCTGCCAGAGCTTGGGTCACAATAATAATGGCCTCCCTCGCAAGTATCTTCTTCTTTGCAGTAGGTTAGACAGTTGGGGCCATAGTAACTTTCAGGACAGCCTGGTGTGGCAGATGGGCGTGGTGTGGTTTCTGCACAGAGGTCTCCCCGAAATCCCTCGGGGCACAGACATATGGTTTCTGAGCTTGAATTAGAAACACATGTTCCCCCATTCTGACAATTAATGCTCATGCATGGATCGGGTTCTTGAGTTGTGATGCTACCTCCTATATAGATCTCACAGTTCCTTCCTGCATAGCCTTGAGAACATACACAAAGATAATCACCGATAAGGTCCTCACATCTAGCAGCGTTTCTACACGGGCTGCTGGCACACTCTAAAATCTCGATGTGGCAGAGACTACCCGTATACCCGATTGGACAGCAGCAGGTACTATTCGTGCAAAGTCCACCATTCCTACACTGGCTGTTTGGACAGATGACGTCGTGCTGGGCTCTTGGATCCCTTTGGTTACAAAATTCGCCCCTCCAACCAAACCGACACAGCCTTTCACCAGTCATAGGATGACAGTTCCATTGTCCAGCATTACAATCTTCTTGGGCCCTACAGAATACAGAACAAGTCGGCCCAAAGTAGTCTGTAGGACACGCTGCAGCAGGGTCTGGTGTGGTCAACTCCGTCTCACAGTTTTCACCAGTGAAGCCACGTGCACAGTCGCATCTAAACCCATTAGCTTCCTCGTAGCACTGTCCGCCATTCAAACACCGATCAGGAGTGCATCGAACCCTGAATTCACAAAGGGAACCGGTAAATTCTTGTGGACAGCAACACTGGCTTTGAAAACACTGACCTCCATTTTGGCAAGGACAAGTGGCATCACTGACGGTTCTCTCAGTACAGTTGACACCTCCCCATGTGGGGTTGCAGATCCGGTTGCCGTCTTGACTGTCGCAGGTGTAGTGGCCGCCGCAGTCGTCCCTGCCTTCACAGTACACGGAGCAGGATGGTCCGTAGAAGTTCGCTGGGCAGGCCGGGGTGGTGGTCGCTGGTGTTGTGGTTATCAACGTTTCACAGACATCGCCAGTGAACCTCGGGTCACATATACAGAAGAAAGACCCGAAAACTGGTCTGCAGTCGCCACCATTCAAACATGGGTTGTCGTCACATGTGCGCTGAATTTCACATTTCTGACCCTTGAACCTTAAATAGAATAATGATATGTCAGTAGTGCAGACAACATAACTTTGTTATTCATCCACGCCTGTGTAGGCCTTCGTTTAGTTTCACTCGATTAAATGTCCTCTCTCGAGGTCTAAACTATTTGAACAATATAAATGTGTCTGGGTCTCGATCCACAAAGCGTTCGTAGCGCTACGACATTCGTAAGCCTATGGTAAACTGTAGAGTTACGACAGGTCGTAACGTTACGAACACACTGTTTTCAGCGTCTAATAAGTGCAAGTAAGCATATGTGTAATAAAGTAGTAACTTCACCGATGGGGCGGGACACGACCATTTTCGCGAACACCTGGTATGATCACTAGTTGACAGTCTTTCATCAGACCGTGTTTATTGTATAATATCAGGAATCGAATCCCCTTTAAGTACAGATTTCATATAGTCATAGAAATGATTCTGTGGGCCATATTTGTATAGCATCTGACGACAGCTTACCACTGTCTGAATTATAACACTATAGTCACTATGTGCAGAGCAAGTATATACCTGATAGGGCAGGTGCAGGAGTAGGAATTGGGTTCATCTTGGGAACAAGATCCTCCGTTCTCACAAGGGCTGGAGGCGCACTCATCTACGTCAATTTCGCAGTTATCTCCCGTGAACCCGGGGGCACAACAGCAGTAGAAGTCAGAGAAACCGTTACCGTATCTGACGCACTCGGCACTGTTGGCGCACTGTTGGGCTAAAGAGGAAGATTTACGGTTCCATAAACATCTAAACACTTTGCAGAGACCATTCTGTGCATACTTGTATTTACAAGAGTTGGAAGTACTTCTCAATCAGTACGGATAAAAAAGGATATTGTTTGAGACAATAACAGTTAGGACCAGAAGTAGGGTAAGGTTTGTATAGTTGTATATTAGTAAGCATTTCTATCTAGATTCGTTGAAGACAATAATAGAGATGATGTCCGTTGCAATTCCTTATTACAATGCAAAATATGTTTTCCTGGTCTTTCTTCAGGTGGACAATTGACTTGCCTTTGCAAGTGTTTGTTATGTCTGCCCCAGTGGGTCAGAAAACGCTCAAATTTAAAAAAGAAGAATTTGAAAGTGATTCAAAGCTTTCTCATTCTATAGTCGGAACCGGACAGTAGACTCTGTCTTTGGTAGAGATTTATATGTTTGTATAGAATGTATGTTTCTTTTATTTACATGAGAAACAGCCATGATCTGCCGAGACAGATATGCTACAGTTGTCACCAGCCCAGCCATCGTTACATATTTTAGCACCGGTGATAGGATTGCAGGTGTAGTGGCCGTTACAGTCGTCGTTCTCAACACAATTGATGGAGCAGTCGTCGCCGTAGAAGAAACGGTCGCACTGAACGGCGACCGCTGCGTCAAGTCTGGAACGTAACAACACACGATACATGATACAACTACCGTGTGGATATACAGTGGGACGTACACATCACATATCTCTCTTATGTAACATGCATGTTGAAGGACGTATGTCCATCACACAATGGGTATGTGAGTGAGTTTAGCTTTACGCCGCACTCAGCAATATATCAAGTTATATGGCGGACTGAAAATAATCGAGTCTGGATCAGACAATGCAGTGATCAACAATATGAACATCGATTAACGCAATTGAGATACGATGACATGTGTCAACCAAGTCAGCGAGCCTGACAGCCCGATCCCGTTAGTCGAATCTTACGACAGCATGGGTTACTGAAGACCTAACCCAGATCTTCAGGCGTCTCCTTCATACAAGGCCAGGGTATGTCCCCAACAGCAAAGTCATAAACGGCGTCAAAAATGGTCCAGGTGGTCAGGTCCGGAGCCATTATGACGCTGATTATGATTTCTATCATTGTTTGTCTGGTCCAAACTCCTGTATTTACCTCAGTCATACTGTTGGAATATTGCAGAGTATGATGTTGAAAATCAAAGTAATAATTCCGGGCCCTCACCTTGTGGGTAGAATGGATCTCTTCCCCGTCAGAGTATAATCCTGGAAGTCTCCCCGGACGACTGACCTACTGGAGATGGGCTCCTGTTTGGTGTACGTGAAGTTGAAGCTGTCGACCCTCTCCTCCCGCTCTGTATCCGCGTCGGAGATGGTGATGGTGACGATAATGTTCCCCTGCAAACACGCAACACATGTAGTTTTTTCTTAAATTGTTATTATTTTGTTGTTGGTACTGTTGTACTAACATCACGAAAGATCATTAAAAGTAAGCACGGAATTCTATATAATATATTCAAAATGAAGGGAATATAATTAATACTGGATTCACAATGGCGAGAGATAACAGATTTCGGAAATACATTTTGTCAAACTATGTTACATTATTATACTTAATGAGTAAGTGAGTGAGTGAGTTTAGTTTTATGCCGCTTTTAGCAATATTCCAGCAATATCACATTGCAATGGGCTCCACACATTGTACCCATGTGGGAATCGAACCCTGGTCTTCGGCGTGACGAGCGACCGCTTTAACCACAAGGCTACCCTGTCGCCCCTTATGCTTAATGATAGTAGAAATGCATTTTAACATTTGTAAATATATAAGATCAGATAATCTTCAGTAAAATGTCCATTGCAAAGGTGGTTTAAACATAATTTTTCCGGATTGGTAAACAAGCAGTATGGTGCTTATCTGAATACCGCTCCGGATTGCAAAGGTATCTCTTTCAGACACAGGACATCGACGTCTCTCACCTGCCATGAGTCGAGTGTGATGGGGAGGGGGTTGGCGAAGCCGCTGATGAAGGTCAGGGGGAAGTTGAAACTGCTGGTGTCGACGTCAACGCTGCCGACGTCAAATGTCTCAATCTCGCACGGATCCCCTGTGGCATTTCTGCAAACACAAATAACAGGTTGATGTAATGTTTCACATCATACAGAGATACCCGCTTGCCATTCATATCACCCTTTATCTTAGAGTACATCAATGTGCCAGCTGTTGGTTTGAGATATCATTCGTGACACTTTATCCACATAACCCATGCGTAGTGTGTTTATGCAGGGATAATCTACAACTATATAGTCTCTCTGGTTTATGCTATAAACCATGTGTATAGTTTTATTAGTCTATTTGATAGTATTTACGATTTAATTAATGTCAATGGGCACTGGCTGATTTCCAAGTTCACAGTACGACTGTTGTTGTTTTCATTCATTGAGACGTGTTATAACGACGTTTATTTATGACATAACATCCTTTTATCTGAAGGATGGTCATGATCACATAGCAGCTTTCATGCATACAAACAATACAAATAGTTTGACGAAACGAATGACCTTATCAAACCAGAAATAACTGAAATATTGTGCACATATCGGTATTGTTTCGGCTTTGACAGACATGTGTAATGATTTAACATCTATTTCCAAATCTTGTTAAATACTTTTGTAAATCTTCCCATTTAAGAGTCTGTTTAAAAATAAAGCACACCCCCGTTGCTAATCACCCAATTATCCCTTAAAGAATAGAGTCTTAGCGAGTCAAGCACCTGATGCGGATGTGCCGGGTTTAATACAAATAGATCCGGATTAGGGTATTTGCTAGTGATTGGGAGCCCCAGTGTGTATGTTCTAGGCGTGAGAACATTCGCTAGAACACTAGAGCAGCGGGTCGTGTTAGAAGTGGCACAAGCTCGTTACACTGGCAAACGTGTTAAGGTTACGCCCTACCCAGTAGCCACTGCACCCAGCATCCCTGGAGCGGAATATATTCTAATGTGTAGCATTAGTCATGTTGGGAGTTTCGGTTAGGTAAATACACATTCAGCTAGTTATTTTTAAAAACATGATGGAGTTGTATGACAGGCGTGCGGAAGGAATACAGATGGTGTGTGTGATATGTTTGAACAGTTGGTTGGAGAGGAATTGTTGGACCACACTGAGTGAAGTATAAAGTGATCGCATTAACGCACACAACGTTAAATACCACAGATAGATAGATAGTGGAGGTATGGTAGATAGATAGATAGTGGAGATATGGTAGATAGATAGTGGAGATATGGTAGATAGATAGTGGAGATATGATAGATAGATAGTGGAGATACTGTAGATAGATAGTGGAGGTATGGTAGATAGATCGACAGATAGTGGAGATATGATACATAGATCGATAGTGGAGATATGGTAGATAGATATATCGATAGTGGAGATATGGTAGATAGATAGATAGATAGTGGAGATATGGTAGATAGATAGTGGAGATATGATAGATAGATAGATAGATAAATAGTGGAGATATGATAGATAGATCGATAGTGGAGATATGATAGATAGATTGATCGATAGTGGAGATATGATAGATAGATAGATATATAGATAGTGGAGATATGATAGATCGATAGATATATAGATAGTGGAGATATGATAGATCGATAGATAGTGGAGATATGATCGATCGATAGTGGAGATATGATAGATAGATAGATAATGGATATATGACAGAGAGATAGTGGAGGTATGGATGGACAGACAGAGATAGATAGTAGAGGTATGATAGATACATAGATAGATGGGTGTTTGGTTGGTTGATGTCTGGATAGGTAGATAGATAGAAATAGAATTGGCCGCGTAAAGATACTAATAGGCGGATCTTAGATCTTATATATATATCTATATATATATATATATATGAGAGAGAGAGAGAGAGAGAGAGAGAGAGAGAGAGAGAGAGGAGAGAGAGAGAGATATAAAAGTTGTGATAGTCGATAGATAGATGGATGAAAGGAGGGATCGATGGATGAATGGAATTGCTTTCTTATTTCCTACAGATATATAATTTAGCTGAGAGGTGTAAAACTGTATAATGTACCACGCTTGAATCCTAGGATCCTGTATACCACCCATATGTCAACTTATATCTGATGAACTGTGATAAACAGTGTGCCAGCGACAGCAACATCTTTGATGCACCAAGACCCGAAAATATGCTGGGAGTCATCTGGTGTCAATACCTACAATATCTACAAGTTTATGACATAACCAGATCAGTTCCAACATAAAACCTTCACTGACACATTCGGATAATATATTCGTATTAATTGATGTGATTGCTAGTTATCCAAATTCTCAAAATATGATAATAATTTATATATTTGTGCTGATACTTCAGCGGTATGCTGGTGCAGTTGGGTACAGACATATCAGTGTTGCAATGCACCTCCAACAAAACACATACATTACTGGAACTTGTTTAACAAAGGTTTGCTGCGGATAGTCGTGGGCTTGTGTCAACATTCTGAACCTGGCTTGGAATATCAACTACCCCACCCTGTGAAATTACCGTCAATGTAAACACAGAAAAATTCATGTAGAACAATCCTAAACATTGGAGTAATTAGGGAGGTTTAAATGTCCGTTAATTAGTTGATGAAAGGTGGTTTACACTAAGCTTAAATAATCAGATGACACCTTGAAATATACTCATGCCAATAATGGTTGTCACCCCCTTCAATTTTTTTAATTGGAGATGAGTGTGGGGTGGGGTGTGAGGTGTGTGTGGGGTTTGGGTGGGGAGGGGGTGACAACCATTATTGGCATGAGTATATTTAGATAGTTATATTGTATGTGTAATTGGGATACCTTGTTACCACATTATGTATTAAAGGCATAAACTAAATATATTTTATGATGTCGTAGGTGCCAATATAATCATAAATTATTTTAATAGGATTAATGTTCTACAGCACGAATGTTTGCATACTGGGAGCTGGGGATTGTTCTAGTGCTGTTCCGATATTAAATATGGCCTGTAAACTCACCTCGAAAGGCATATATTGACGCCATAGTCACATTGACCAGTGCAGTTGCCGTTTCTGGATTCCCCATCACAGCATTTTCCATCTTCTTTCAGAAAGCCTGTGTTTTGAAAACTGTCGAAACGGATCATCAATTTGGCCGTTCCTGAGCATGGTGTTATCTGAAGAGACAAACGCAAATTGATTAAATTATTGCAAGAAACGCTGTCTTCCAACCAGGACCAAATAACTGCCTGTAATTAAAATTCCCGATTAACGTAATCAGTATATGTAAATATTTGATATTGAATTTCTGATTGAGCCATCTTAAGCACGACTACAGCCATGACACTGGATCGTTCTGAACTGAACTGATATTTATTTAGATGACGTATTTGAAATAATTCTAGTATTGCACAACTGAATTATAAACATGATATATGTATGAAATAACAGCTACAATCAGTTGGATAGGTGTTGGGTTTATGATGCTAAGTGCTGATGACCCAGCTAATCAATTGGATAGGTGTTGGGTTTATGATGCTAAGTGCTGATGGACCCAGCCAAGCAATTGGATAGGTGTTGGGTGTATGCTGTTAAGTGCTGATGACCCAACCAAGCAAATGGATAGGTGTTGGGTTTATGATGCTAAGTGCTGATGACCCAGCTAAGCAATTGGATAGGTGTTGGGTTTATGATGCTAAGTGCTGATGACCCAGCTAAGCAATTGGATAGGTGTTGGGTTTATGATGCTAAGTGCTGATGACCCAGCTAAGCAATTGGATAGGTGTTAGGTTTATGCTGTTAAGTGCTGATGACCCAGCTAAACAATTGGATAGGTGTTAGGTGTATGCTGTTAAGTGCTGATGACCCAGCTAAACAATTGGATAGGTGTTAGGTGTATGCTGTTAAGTGCTGATGACCCAGCTAAACAGTTGGATAGGTGTTAGGTTTATGGTGCTAATGGCCCATTGTGGTTCACACTCTCGGTCTCCGGGCTTCTCTGACGGTTCTGTCGTTTAGGGTAATGCCAGATGAAGAGGAAGCAAGTACACATTTCCTCACTCATTCCAAGCTATTGTGTTCGTACAATAAAGATAGGCAGTTTCTAAACCAATAGGGGCTGTGGGGTAGCACAGTGGTCGTCAAGCCGAAGACCCGGGTTCGATTCCGCACATGGCCACAGCGTGTGTGAAGCACATTTCTGGTGTTCCTCGCCGTGATATTGCTGGAATATTGCTGAAAGCTCACTTACTTACCCTAAACCAACATATTTATAAATAGTTCATAAATAGATTGATAAGCGGACATTAAACCAGACACAAATCAATTTAAAATGGACACCATGAACTGATTCTATCGAAATCGTCCGAACCAACGAATTTCAGAAACCAGCCAGTAATCTACTACAAATAATTGACACAGGGCAAGGACTGGGGAAGGTATCTCTGCAATGCATTCACAAATGCTTGTAAAATGTTTATCAAAGCTCTTCCAAACAGAAGAGATTGTTCCATTGATTCCAGCTTCCTTCAGATGAGCTCTCTTGTCGCTATCCAGTGACGAGAACACATATAAACACTTGGGAAGTCAAATACAACGCGGGTTTCCCATTATATGGCCTTACTGTAACTATTTCGTTGTAGTTTTCATCATGGGGGATGTCAATAGCAGAGGCAGTCAATCAGTGTACAATGTCAGTGTTGGAATACTGGTGTACATTTCCGTATGTGACTTGTAGGATTTAAATTTCTCATTGACTGTGGTCGAAAACACAAAAATACGTTTCTATGGCATCTGAAATATCCACGAAACCAGTCAAACATTTTAAGTATAAACAAGATATTCCTCTCCAACCTTAGCCTGTAAATTTGCTCCATTTTTCAAAATATTTGGCATTTAAATTCTAGTAAAAGATTAGGAATTTGGATTTTTGTTTCGCGTGAAGACGCGGAATGTTGAATCAATGTAAATACGCTGAACCAGAATCATTCAGACGCTTGGAAATTAGGCAAATAAGAAGTTTGTCTGGTCGATAACTTAAACAACAAATCATTAACAACGGACAACGCAAAGAAAGAACATTTATTTTAATGTTATATTCAGGTAACGAAGATGATATTGTGTTTTTAATTCAAAATTTATAGTGTGTTGTTATTAAAATATCGTAAAACATATGTTTATAGCTGCGGTACCTTTGTAAATAATCTACTACATATATTGAAAGGGTTTTGCATATGTTTTTATCTGTACCGTGATAAGCATGGATATAATCCTTAAAACGCCCGCCTCACTTCACTACAAGATAGCATCCCATGACTTCAGTACCTTAAGGCCAAGTGATCGAGGACTATAGCTTTCCGTTGGTGCCAGGGCACTCTATATACTTCATTGTTCAAGCTCTAACATAACATGAGAGATTATGACGTTAATCTGCTTCAATGACCCGTTAAGACTGTAAACTTCTCCAGCTTATCGATCCCGTTGTCGCCCTTTCCGTATGCATACATTCTTAAGCCCGCCACTTTGCTGGTATACAGTGTTATCATGGTCTGACCACAAAGCACTTGAAAATGATGCTTCATACCCTTTCGAATTCATTGGAATGGTTCTTTGTGTGGCCTTTTCACGTCAAAACTTCGCAAAACTACGAAATTTACGTTTAATTCTAAACACTACGGACGTAGGTGAACAAGCTTGAACTTTTGATTGAAATTATTAAATTTATGAAAACTTTATGGACGTGTCTACCAGTGGCGGTGATGACTTAAATTGTGGTTTTATCAAGTGCGTAATTGATAGTTACACATGAAATCATTGTTGTCACAGCCGTTTACTACGTTTTCATTAAAGCCTCCTGCGATTCGAGTGTAGCCAATTCTCCTTCCCAGCAGCAGAGATGAAATGTGTGCCTAACGTTTAAGCAGACTAAACAGAAGGGCAGCGTTTTAAACGAATTTGGCATGTCTGACAAAAGTGTTTACGTCCATTAAACACTTTTTAAATCTCAGCTGAAGAGAAAGAGTAAAGTGGAAAACACGCATCTTAGTTGATACAACATATTTGGAATATATCTCACCAAAAGCTGAACACCTTGTTAAAGAGTTTGACATAATGTAGAAAAACAGCTTTAATTATGATATACCTTGGTTATTTCAAATATAAACCATTAAAACGCAGAAAACAATGAATCTATTATTTGAAACAAACCACAATTAAAGTATTCAGTACAATTAGAATAAAAAGAAACTTACCTGTAATACTAAAGCTAATGATAAAAGAAATATAAAAGTAATATTCATCACTCTCGGTTCTCGAGCCTCTCTTTTGCACGTTGTCCTTGTCTTCAAACTTATTAAAGTAAATCCAAGTTCGTTTCTTAAAATATTGCTATATATATGTCTCCGTGCGTTTGTTCACCTTCCTCCTACTTCTGAATCTGATACTGACTGCAATAGTTGTGACGTCATCGTTTTTTGTATCCACCTATTGATGATGATGTACACATACTTTTGCTGCCTCCTCCGCGACACTGTTCAAATACAGAAAGGTGCGGGATGACTGTCGCTGGATTCCCTCATTAAAAAACGCTTCTAGGTTTTCTGTTTGTATAATGACTTCGCTTGGTAGCTTGAAGTTGATTCAAAGAAATTAAATTCGTCTGAGATATGTCACTTCTGATGTTATTCACGCACCTGTTAAATGAAGGTAGCGTGGAGCATCCGGCGTTACATTCGCGCTATAAAGAGGGGATTTGGGACTCTTTAAATACACATCCCAGTTCGTATTTGTAAAGAGCTGGAGTCGGTGTAAATTTCAATACCTGAGAAACTGAGGGATACGGTGCAGAAAAGGATGGGTTTTATCACTTAAGGTTACGTCTGGGCTTCCATTTGAACTTAAACGTTTTGGTTTCCTAGTAAATTACATAGTTTAAAAATTCTGACCTTGACACTCATTAACAGTGTGCTATGTTATCACACTGCTTTAAACACTATCTTTTCAAACGTCTTTCTGATCCAGGTGTATATATTTTCAGAAAGGAATGACTAACGTTATGGCAAACTTGGTTGCGTTGTTAATCATGGATAAGGTCTTACTGATATGCCAGTTTAATCCTAATATTACTTCATACTAGTGACGCAAATACGTGTTGCGAAATAGGGATACAAGGATGACAATAATTAATCAACTTGTAATTTTTAAGTTTCTGTTTGAACATTTACTAATGACCTGGGGGGTGGGGGGTTTAAAAGGGCGTTGGGTGGTGCGTGAAAACAACTACGTGAATCACTGTATCTATTATTGCAGAGGTATAAATTGGAATCTTTGTCATGGGTCTTCACATATGTGAAAGAGTTATGACATGTCGTATCGTGTCAGAGACAAACCCTTACAATCTGTCCACGTTTGAACGAGAACAAAATGAATACGCAATGCCTTTCAGAAAGTGGTCAAATGTAACATATGCTATATTTGGGATTACACTTTCTCTGTAAAGTACAGATTCTTGTACGTTTTCAGGATGGGTCCTACCCGGGATTCGTGCCCACACTCTCAGAGCCAGGCACCTGAAGAAGTGTGATACCAAATATAACATGTTACAAGATACACAACCGTAGACGTCTCGTTGTTTTAATCAGAACCTGTTCTTGTACAAATGATCGCCGAATGTTTCGTTAGTTTTGGCAAATGAACTATCTGTCGAGTTTACGGTTTAGTTATGACTTGGAAGCAACATGGTTGGTCTAACGCCACATTTAATAGTATTTCAGTTACACCACGTGGTGTCAGCTTGGTGTGAAGGGAAAGCGGCGAATGCGGAAGATGAATACCATTTAGTGAAGCCCTTGGTCTATTGTACATGACCCATTGGACAAACAACTCTGGATCTACAACCGGTGGATCATGCAACCAAGGCTCGTTGTATTTTGATGTAGCAACTTGCGAGTCCTCACACCAAGTGTTCCCATATATATACGTCAGTTGATACAAAATATGTAAACACTATGTATGTTGAAATGTGCTGGAACATAGCAATACAACCAGCTTCACCATACACAATAATGATACTGGTTGTTGAAAATTACAGAAACGTAAGGAAAAACAAAAACGACAGTTGTATTAATTGCAATAGGTGTAATTTAACTTAAAATGAACATTTCCTTTAAATATATCACACTCCATCTCTGTTTTACTCCTGTGGTTAAAACACACGTGTAGTGACGTACATACACACTTTTCATTTACCTCTCAGAATTGCGGATGAGGGTTTAACCGTTTTATTCCAACACTCGTAAAAGCAAGATTGTTTTACACAGGTGTGATTTACTTGACTGGTCCTTTATAAACCTTAAGTAAGTTAAAAAACTCACAACCATGTCAACCCAGCTTTATTTGAGCAACGCGTACAACGTCAAGGTTGCAAAGTTAACGATTGTATAAGCCATGGCGGTCTGCTTTACACAGCCGTAGAAGCGATAAAAGGTTAAATCGTAAAATGCAATTAGGAAGTTGTTTTTCCCAGAGACAATCTCATTACTATAACCATAAAAATACTAGCCATGGTAGTTCATGGTAGTTCAACACATCATCGTTATCCTTAACTATGTATGTTCATTTGTTGACCTCAAAGACAAGAAACCAAGACGATATATAGATCCTGAAGTGTCTAATTTACAAAAGAAATGTTAAGAAGGGGCGTAAGGCTTGAATTTGTAGGCCTAAATATCATTCTCAGTTTACTAGCATTTCAAATATGTTTCATTTGAACGCTTCCATGTTACAGTACTAACACTTTTAGGCATTGGTCGATGTATCTCGTTGTAAGTACACATCAGGAACTATACACGAGTCCTTTAGTACATGACATTCTTTCGTAACACGAAATGTTAACTAAATTAGAAGGTTTGTGGTTTGGTCTAAATATAAACATAGAATGTCACGTTTTTACGCAAAAAATAACCAAAACGACGGGAACAACTTCTCAGACATCATAACTATTCATTAGCAAATGTAACTTTATGTAAACACGGGGACATGTGTACACAACACAATGGATCCGTTCAA